GTTATTATCACGTTTGTAGGATTATATCCTCAAAATTGTCCATTACCATCAAAATTGAATTATTTTGATTTTGGACATCTGTATTTTATTAATTCAAACAAAAACTGAATTAAAAAAAACGATGAAGTGATAATTTTTAAATTATCCTTAATCTATGAAGTATTTCTAATAATAAATTGTAAAACACTTTACTATTTAGAAAAAATATGTATATATAAGCGGATAGTAAATATTGATTGGCTTCTTTTGATAGACTTTGTCTTATTTATTATAACGTTTTAGGTTAACGTTTTGGGGTGCAAGGGGTATTGAAGCGATATATATAGCATAGCTTACCCAAAAGTCAACCTCACCTTCACGTAGTGCACCCTGTTTACACAAACGAGGCTCTGACGTCCAAGTATAGGCGGTATAACCTTATACAACCCTCAGACCTACCATCTTCTGGGGAAAAGGAGTAGTAAAATACACCTAGCCGGCCGAGAACGTAGCACAAGGGAACTATCGTCGCGGTCCTCACTGTGCCATAACCATCCCGTGCTACAGTTGCAGCCAAAACTGTGCGGCAGCGTAACCGCCACAGTTAAACCTTTTCACGCAGCTTACACACAACAATGATGGAACATTCGAGTGGGTCAAAATTATCGTCCGGAGGTAAAATACCCTCTCAATCGGATCTCCGGGAGGGGGTGCCTACTCGAGCGTATCATCGGAGAAACAAAAAACATCAATGTTTCACGTTTGCGGCGTGGAACGTCCGCACTCTACTGGACAAGATAAATTCAAATCGACCAGAGAGAAGAACAGCACTGGTCTCACAGGAACTCCACCGATTAAATATAGACGTTGCCGCTCTAAGTGAAACACGCTTTGCGGATGAAGGTAGTCTCATTGAGGAGCATTACACCTTCTTTTGGAAAGGTCACCCCGCAACACATAGGAGAATTCATGGCGTAGGCATTGCGATCAAAAACGAAATCGCCACCAAATTAACAGAAGTACCTACCTAGATGTCTCCGAACGTCTTGTGACCCTAAGGTACCCCATATCAGACAAAACTTACCTCAACATCATTAGTGCCTACGCTCCCACCCTTGACGCTAAAATTGAAGATAAGGATAAATTTTACCAAGCTTTACAAAATGCCCTCCAACGAATACCAAAACACGAACGAATCATCTTGCTAGGCGACTTTAATGCCCGTGTTGGCAAACAACAGGATATATGGCCTGACGTATTGGGAAAACATGGAATAGGAAACGTAAATAGCAATGGTGAACGCTTATTAACAACATGCGCAGAGTATAATCTTTGCATCACCAATACGTGGTTCATGTTGAAGGACAAGATAAAAGGTACCTGGAAACATCCTAGATCACGCCACTGGCATCAATTGGACCACATAATCGTTCGAAGGACGCATCTAAAAGATGTTAGGCTCGGCGCCTCTCCTATTCAACATATTCATGGCAGCGCTCTCAATTATAGTGGACAGCAAACTGCAGGAGAGAGGTTTGGGCATTAGATACAGATATGACGGCGGTCTGTTCAACATAAAAAGACTCAGGGCAAAAACACGTACAAAATTTATCACAGAACTCGAACTCCAATATGCTGACGACTGCACACTAGTTGCAAACACGGTACAACAATTGCAAGAAATGTTGAACATATATACCTGGGCATACGAGGCTTTGGGCCTTAAGCTAAACATCGACAAAACTAAAATCATGTGCACACCCTCGGAAGATCACAACAATGCTATAAAAATCGGAGAAGAACTATTGGAATATGTGCCAGAATTCAATTACCTTGGCAGTTTGATTTCGAAAAAGGCCAATATTGACTCTGAAATTCATCACAGGATTAGTAGCGCCTCAAGAGCATTCTGGAAATTAAAAAACAGGGTTTTCTACAGTCATGACTTGAGTACAAAAACAAAACTTGCAGTGTACTGAGCAATTATAATCCCCACCATGTTATATGGGAGTGAAACCTGGGTGCCGTACCGCCGACACATGAACGCATTAAACAAGTTGCAACAGAGACACCTTAGACAACTCTTAAGAATCCGATGGTTTCATCATGTCTCAAACGTATCGGGCCTTGAAAAAGCTAACTGCGAGAGTATTGGAGTCATGGTCACAAAATCCCGCTTAAGATGGGCTGGTCACGTATGCAGAATGCAAGAAAACCGCATACCAAAATCTCTGCTTTACGGTGAGCTTGTAGACGGTAAGAGGAGGCCAGGTGGACAACTGAAAAGGTACAAGGACATTTTCCACGAAAACTTAAAGGGGATTAACATGCAGAATGAGTGGGAAAAAGCTGCTCACAATAGAACTCAATGGAGAAGAGTTGTAAACTCAGTTAACAGAGACAACCAAAAAGTAAAGAAGCAACAAAGCAATGAGATTTTTGAATGTCCGGAGTGCGGTAGGCAGATAACATCACGTATCGGGCTTTTCAGTCACAGAAAAGCTCATGAAAGAAAACGCCTTGCGTGACCATCTTCTCTATGTGTGTGTGGAATACGCCTCAGCGAGTAACGGCTGTATGTATGTACGTTTTAGATAATTTTAAAATATAATTTTATATATAAAGTAAAGCCAAAACAAAACAAACAAAAAGTGTTTTATGCCAAAAACTTCCGCATTCAGAATACAGTAGATTTAATATGTACGTATTTCAAAAATTGTATAATGTCTTGAGTAATTTATTTCTAAAGTAATTTATTTCTCAATATAATAATTATGATACACTGTAATTAGAATGTAACTAAACAATTATTAGGAACTCAGTGGTTCTGTAAATATCTTGTTAATGAAGTAAACCAATTTTTGCACACAAATACACTTTCAGGGAAACAATGTGTTTCATCTTCTAATACTGGGTGCGTCTCAACAGTGGCTCATCCCTATAACTTTTTTATTTTTTCAGATAACAAAACGAAATTTGGTATATTAGTATATGACTTAGGATTGATTGATTGACGTATTCAATTGTTTTTGGTCACTTCCTATTTCACCGGAAATAACTACAACTTTTGATTTTTAAATGATACCCTCGGTATTTTTTCACTTTATTCGATATAATATGACACTCTCAATAGAATGACATGTCATATGTCACCTTTTGACATTTTTGCATGTTGTTTATTTGACATTGTAACATGCGGTTCATAACGACTCTTTGACTAGATATACCAAGTGTGTGGTACCAAATTATTCGTAGAAAAATGCTTCTGCCAAATATGCTAATGAGCCACCCTAGTTCCATTTGAAAAAATTGAGATTAAAATGAGAGAATGAATGATTAACAATACGATTTGGACATCTTTTAACCGGCCAGGAGAAGACACGAAAAACATTATACGGTCAAATTTATTTCTCCAAGGCTCCTTGATTGAAAATTAGTATTTTTTACACAGCCTTGGACTCTAGACTGAAATTTAAAATACGATTTGTTTTTAAGCGAAAATTTCAAAAGTTGACATATGATATGTCATTCTATTCAGAGTGTCATTTTCTATCGAATAAAGTAAATATAACCGAGGGTGGCATTTAAAAATCAAAAGTGGTAGTCATTTCCGGTGAAACAGGGACTGACCAAAAACAATTGAATAGGTCAATCAATCCTAATTTATGCCATATACTAAAATACCAAATATCGTTTTTTTATCTGCAAAAATAAAAAAGTTATAGGGGTGAGCTACTTTTGAGACGCACCCGGTATAGAGGTCTGAAAATACACTGTACCAAAAAAAATACAAATGTTTCAATAATTACATACATACATTTACAATACCTCGTTACGTACATATTTCTGAAAAAAAATCCCGTTTTCTTATTAGCCATAACAGATGCGCCTTTTTTTGTCTAAAAATACAAATTACGTGCCATAATCGCAGAAATTATTAACTGTAAATATAGTATCACCTCTCATTACAAATTCATGGACATGACTGATTATTGCTTTTATCAACTCGTTAAATTAAAACCAACAATGTTTCTTGTCAAATGTTTCTACTTTAGTTTCCAAACAGAATATAGAATCAATGGGAAGGGGGTGTTAATCACTGCGACCTTAAAGATCTATTGTGTCCCCTTTCCTTTAGTTATAACGCATCATACAGGCTATAACCCTTCATACACGAGGATTTTCCTGTTGTAGGAGGGACATGTTCTTCCTCCGAGAGTATGCACGCTTTCACGGTTGGGGTTTGGCCCTACGCCTCCTTTACAGTCTAGAAGCTTGTCTCCGGCTGAGGTATCCGTGAGAGATGGAGGCTGGAGGATCTATCTCCATTTTCTCCACCTCTTTAACTTGGACTCTCTTTAGACATGATACCAGTGTTGTCCCGAATCTGTAATAGAGGATATATCCCTCTTTATCTATCGCCTCTTTGGATTTGAGATAAATTTTCCTACTGTGAGATCTGACCATGACCCTCCTCCCTCGAGTTGATGACTCGCCAATCGATTTCCTTGCATTGGAGTTCTGAGCCTGGATCGGGCTCAGCAGGTAGGTGGTGTCTTTCCCCTTGCTCCTCGACAGAAAGACCGTTATGGTTGTCTCTTTTGGGATGGTTTCTCCCTTCATTGCAACCAATCCCGGCCCTTGCCAATTCTTAAGTAGTTTCCACGTAACATTTTTGGTTACGTAGAAAGTTTTTCCACATTGGACAAAAATAAAATATACTCTTTTCTTAACTAACTACTATAATATAGTATTAAAATTATCGATCTATTGTAAACAACATGACATTCAAAAAGTTAATTTATCATTTTATTATCTAATTTATAATAAAAGAATAACCCCACTACTAATACATATATTCTATAAGTATTATTTGGATTAGATAAATCTAATTTTTCCTAGGAAGTTTTGATTACAATCGTCTTTCTTTAAGTCAAAATCATTGTTTGATATTATCGTATCAGGTGATTAAGGAAATTTAAATCTGACACAGCACTTGATAATTAAATATAATATCATTGAAATCCAAACAAGATTGTCCAGATTAACTTTTTGGTTTGATCGGATTCATATAAAAGCTGATTTATTGTAATTCTCATCTGTACTATAGTTAAATAAATTATTCTGGTAAAAATGTTCAAATTAGTCGCTACGATATTTATGTGCCTGTATGTTTCTTCATCAGGGGCTGTTGTAAGTATCTTGGTACATTTATAATAATATCGTCTAAATTTATTTTGCCACTAAAAACATAATTAAAAAAAATGGTTAATACCAAATATGTTAACATTGCTTTTGGATTATAACAACTAGTATTTTATAAAAAAATAGGGTTGATATAAAGAGTTATTTACCCAAAGAGTTTCAGTAATAATTAGCACAGATTTGGAACCAAAAGGTTCATCTTTATTAATACGCCAAAAAATACTCAATTGCACTCAAAAAATGGGACACTTTGTTTATTTGAAACTTATACATCATGTGCATATACAAAGTGAGTCTTAAATAACTGCAAATTTTTTACGGGTAGTATATTTCGGCCCAAGAAACACGATTATGAGTTTTTTTCGCGAAAAATTTTATTTTTGCAAATTTTTTGAAAATATTTTCGGAATCGTTTTTAGTTTTTAGTTAAAAATCATAATTTCTTGATAATATGGCAACATAGGTAGTAGATTAAGTTTACAAAAAAGAAACCCCAGAAAAGATCCAGTGGTACTCAAAATTTAAGCAAAAAATCATTTTTTTTAATTTTCAAAGTAATTTTTTTTAAATAACTCGGTTATTTTGGACTTATTTGAAAAACGGTAAAGAAAAAATATGTTTTGTTATCTACCAGCCCTGAAAATATTTGCACTTATTTAAGACTCACCCTGTATAGGCCAGTCAAATATGATTTTATAGGGGTCACTTGGAAAAAAGTGTTGGAAAGCTAATTATTGATTTGATCGGTTCATTTGACGTGAAATAGAAGTTTCCTAGGCACGGTTATTCGACTGCTGCTCGATTCAGGAGGCCTAAAAGATGGTAAAACATTTTTGGACTTTTTTCAGATTTTCGCATAGCTCCCAAACGTTGCGTTCTCGCGAATATTTCAGTAAATTTTCTTACTTTAGTTTCTTACGTAAATTAAAGAGTATTAAATTATCTGTCGAATAAGCAATATAAGCACACATTCATTCTAATCGATTCTGTAGTATAACCTGGAACCTGGTATAACTAAAATGAAAAGTTGAAGAACGTCAATATTTACCCATTTTGATGAAAAATGCATTAAAGTGACATTCAGTCGTCTGTCACATGGATTACGTTATTCTAAATAAAAAAATACAACGAAGGTTTTAAAGCATCAAATTGTGGGTTTAACCAAAGGTTTAACATATAAATATTCCGAAGCTTGTCATAATGCTCTTCAGTGTCGAAGGAAGGTATCTTTCCATATCTCTTCTACCTTTGTATAAAATTACTTAAAAAGTGGTATTAATGATAGATATTAATTGCCAGATAGTTTCCATTTTCTGATGAAAACCTGCCCTTAAAGGATTTTTTGGCTTCGGTGAACTATCCTGACACACGATTTTTCTTAGAAAATGAAGTTTATGTTACCTTAAAATGAACTTCTTGGATTCTTTGACTAAAATCTGATGCGGAAAAACACGTTTTGCATAAAAAATATTCTTAAAAATGTTGTTATTTGATTTTTATAGCAAATTCCAGGGCAAATTCCTTAACCGATAATGAAAGAGTCGCGGACTTGTTTATATCCGTTTCTATGTTTACGCTGACAGTAGTGAAGGTTGAATTTTGACAAATATTGCGAATTGATACATGGTTGTCAGATCAGCTAGTAAATTATCCGGAATTTCATGCATCTTTTTTGTTTAGGGAAAAAAATGACGTCATAGGTTTTAATTTTTTTTAATACGAATTAGATTATTTTAGTTTATCAAATTGGCTAAATTACCGCGCCGCACTAGTTATATAGCTCTAGCAATGAAAACACGCTGGAAGCTGGAAGCCACCAAAGCAAAGAAAACACGCTTACAGCGTGTTTTTATTTTTTTGGTTTGTGTTTGGCTCGGGTTGAATTGGTTTGGTATTGGTCGGTTTGGTTTGGTTTTGTATTGGTTGGTTTTGTATTGGTTGGTTTTGTATTGGTTGGTTTTGTATTGGTTGGTTTTATATGGGCTGGTTTTGTATGGGTTGGTTAGGGTTTGGTTTGGTTGATTTGGTTGTTTTTTTTCTTTTTATTTGTTTGATTGATATTTTGGTTTAAACAAGAGCGAAACAAAAGCCACGCGTGTTTTGGTTGCTTTCGTTTCACTCTTCTGTTGTTTTTTTTTAGTTTTCCCATTCACCCATTATTAACGCATTTTTATTATTAAAAATGGCTATTTTTTCAAAATAAAAATAAAAAACAGAAACAGAAAATTCAGTGAAACTGGCAACACTGCTTTTCCTTTTTTCGCTGTCATGTTAAATCAAGCCAAAATCAAGCGTTAAAATTCTCCATAACGTCAAATATGTGTCAAAAACTACTTAAATTGAATAAAATTATTTTAAAATTCTGTGCATAATCTCCATTTATTTTTATTTAAAACTACTACAAAAAATGGTTACTTTTTGACAAAAAAAAGAAAAATGCAAAAATCGTGGGTCAGGATAGTTCACCGGACCCGGATTTTTTTCATTATTGTAGCTGAACTGGGAGATGACGAATATGTGCTTTGCCGTATTTGTTTGGTAAGTGATCTGGCGGAAGCGGCGAGAAGCCTCCATAAAATAATAAATACAAGAAGAAGTGTCAAGTCAATGTTAAATTATGGAAACAGCGTGGCTGCCTGGGTAACTAATTTTCAGATATGGCGGCTGGGACATTTGACATGATTTGACATGACATAGACACTTCATTGACATGACAATTTCAATTTTATGAATTTTATTTCCGTTTCCGGTTTTTAATGGCGGGCTGTTCAGGAGGTTTAAATGAGGGTTAATATACTTTTTACTTTTTCTAGTAGTAAATAATACAACAAAATTACTCAAAAATATTTATTTGGAATTTAGAACAATGTAAATATGCAAATCAACACAATTAAAGAGCTATAAACCCATAAACTACTGTATCAATATCAAAATATTTAAATAACATCAGAGATGCTGTGTTAAAGTGAAATAGTAAAGTAACAATGCACTGACTTACAGAAACTTGAAGATAAATAAATGTTTTCACAGCTTCACGGGCGTAAAACTAACTGGAAGCAAGAAAAAGACAACAGGAACCCACGCAAAACCTGGAATCAAAAAAAATATGTAAAAAAACATAAATATAGGTACATAAGACTGTTGTGAATTAAATCAAACAGGACTTGAATGAAAATAAAATGAATAAAAAATATGATACATATACATCTAATACCTCATTTGTATTTTAAAATAATCTACATACATAGCATTATTGCTATGAAAATACATAATAGGTACCTATGTGATATGTAATTACGCATTTCTGTTCATCTTGTAGATAATTAATGTAAGCTAATAATAGTTCAATAATCATAATTTACCTTGTGCAACTTGCTTTCAATTGCTCAAAATCACCGATCAGTCTTTAAAGTAGAGATACGGAAAAATCCTTGGTAAAGAATATCCCAAGATCCTTGGATCTAAAGCTAAAAAATATAAAAACAGTTAATATATTACCTATTTTTACATATAATATGGCTCATACCTACTACACGCTGAAACGTCGATTTCATCATTTTCTTCATGTAATTAATACCATATATACTTTATTAAAGTGTTAACAAGGAACTTTATATCAAAAAACATCTTTGTACTTATAAATTTCAGCCGAAATATCATAAACAAACTTCCAATAAAATCTAAAACGGCAAAAAAATAAAATGGCGCCCGACCTTGCCAGAGGCCTCGGTAGTTGACACATGGCTGACACACAGACAAAAGAAGAGGACGCCGACGTGCATAAAAATGTTCCGTAACTGAAATTGGCAGAAATCATATAGAAATATTCAGATTTTTGTCTAGGACAGTCTAGAAGGCCATGCTTTCCGCCTGGGTAAGACCGCGCCAGAACTGTTTCCAATTTTCCGGTTTACTGTCACCCCCCTGGAAGCCTCCACCAGGGGGGTGACAGTGAAATAGGAAAATTGGAAACAGTCATTAGTGTCATTCCTGTCATCTCCTGACGACAAGTATGGCCGCCTAGACAAGGACAGCAATGTTTCTCTCTAACTATTGTCTAACTTCACAGTTTAGAATTGACAGATTTCAGAGACAACTTCAGATTTGTTCTAGAACAAATTTCGACGCCATTTTAATTCTCTCCGTTTAGTTTTGTTTTGTAAATTCAATTTGATATTTCGGCAGAAATTTATAAATATAAAGGTAATAAAGCATATAAAATATATATTACATGAAAAATCCTGAAGAAAAAGACGTTTCTGCAGTACTAGGTATGTCCCATGTATATTAAAAATAGGTAGTAAAAAAACACTATTTCTGTATTTTTTAGATGCAAGAAAATTTTGTTATGTTTATCATCGGCGATTTTTTGAAAATGGAAACAATTTACAGCAAGGTAAGATCATTTTTAACTATAGCCAACATTAGTTATCTCCAGTATGTGCGATTTATTGTCAATAATGCAATAAATCTGACTGATACAATCCGTTTGTTATCCGACTAAAAGGGAATAACTCTTTGGGAATAATGGACGCTTTTTTTAAACAGTATATTTGTATTTTATACCTACTGATATTTTTATTTGTTAATTTTAGTTTGGTTTGGTTATAAAAAAATGGTTATAAAAAAATTTGTTTTTCTGTTTTCAGGTTTTTGTATAAGGCTCCCGTTTTCATGTTCCTGCCCCCGTTTTCTGTCCCTGATGGCTGTGAATACGTGTATTTATTTACAAATTACTGTAAGTCATGCTTATACCTTACTAATTTACGTTAAAATTGCATATAATTAAGTAATTGCTGTTGAAATCATTCAATTCTTTATTTTTTTATATATATATTTAGTCACGTTGTCTTATATTTCAAATAAATATGTTTGAATAAAATTTTGTTTTGTTTTATTTATGATAAGAAAGAGTACAAAATACATTTAAACTGAAAGAGGGCCCGCCATTGAATAACCGGAAACGGAAATAAATACGAAGCCATCATGTCAACCTGTCAATTGAAAAATTAGTTCTCCAGACGACAACGAAGGCTTTCGGTGGCGTATCGTATTTCCACGATTTAACACAGAGTTGACACTTCTTTCTAGTTAATTATTTTATGGCCTCCACTTGTGATAGATGCTACTTAGCACTATGTGGTTCAAAAACATTGGGGGTTGAAGTTTTTGCCACTATTATACGAGAGGACATACAACCCATAATATTCGCAAGAACGCAACGTTTCGGAACTATAGGTGAAAATCTGGTCAAAGAATTTTACCATCTTTTGGGCCTCCTCAGTCGAGCAGCGGTCGAGCAACCGTACAAGCCGAGGAAATTTTCTTTCGCGTCAGATGAACCAATGAAATCAACAATTAGCTTTCAAAAAAAAATTTCGGAGTGTCCCGTCTAAGTTGATTTGCCCAGGGACGCGCCGTCCATATGGGCAAGGTCGTGCGGCGCACGACGGCGCCAAAGCCCTAAAGGCGCCTGCGGTCACTGACTTTAAAAAATAATAAAACCATTTTTTAGAACTTATCAACAAATTAACATAAAATTTAAGTAATACTTTTATCTATGAACACCAGTGGTGAAAATATATTATCCACCAATGTCGAGCTGGTCATTGGAAATATTGGAGAAAGGCGCCTACCCTTATTTTGCACGACGGAGCCGAAAATACTTGGCGCGTCCGGATTTGCCTAATATACAGGGTCCGACAATAGTGCGTCGAACATCTGTAGCTCCCAGAATAAAAAACATGGTAATTTTGTTTAAGTGCAAACCTAAAGTATGTACTAGGATGTATGTATAGGGAACTATGTATGTAAAGGGAACACCCTGTATATTATTGCATTTTTGGCTTCCTTTCAGATCACTTTACATAATCCTAAAATATGAGTAAATAATATATTTCGATAGTTTCAGAGATATTAATAAATAAATAAAAAATATACATGGTGGCGCACCTCATTCACCTCGGTTGATTATACGAAAACGGCAAGATGTAGAAACAAAATATTTTATGGGTATATGTAGGAAGTCAATGTGCATAATTTAAAATTATTTTGAAATGTACAGAGTCTGTCAGAACTAAGATCCACACCAAAGTTATATTTTTTCTTATGGAACACACCCGGTATTATATTTCATATTTGGATCCTTGGACACAAAATAAGGCATTTATTATAAGGGTTAAATATGTAAATTAAACATATTTAACCCGTATAACAAATTACTTTTTTGACAGCATCTCCAAAACTTTCTGATTCTGAGGTTCAAAATTCTACGCCAAACTTTCTTAATTATAAAATAATTTTTCATCGTCTTTTAAATGGAACACCCTGTATATTATTTTTTATTAGATGAAGAATTAAAAAATGAACATTTTTTGTATTTAGAGTATTTAAACGACAAAATTGTTAACGGTTTCGGAGATATTCGCAATTTTATATTTCATATGGCATTTTCCACAGTAAATTTTTATCAAAGCCACCCAAAGATTTTTCTCTCGTATTTTACCGTTGAAAGAGCCATATGAAATAATAATGCGTGTATCTGCGAAACCATTGAAATTTTTGAAATACTTTAAATACAAAAAATGTTCATTTTTTAACTCTCCATCTAATGAAAAATAATAGACAGGGTGGCGCCTCTCATACGCCGCGGAAGCTCCAAGGAGAACGGTAGTTTATATCGAAATTTGTATTTTGGCAGCATATATGTAGCTTAACTGAAAGCGGTGAGAGTTTTATTAAAGAAGCATATACCTAAAATCTAAGGATTTTGACATAAGTATTTCACATTTTGTGAAAATCAAGAGTAAATTTTAAATTTCATTAAAAGCTGCCTAAATTTTAGTTGACCTTGTATAGCCTGATATTTAATTACAGTAACCATTGTATGTTAAACCAAATTGAAATTTGACCCGAAAAGTTATACAGGGTGAGACAAAATATGGAACATTAGTCACTTTTGAAAGCAAGTTACTCCTTTATTTTAACTGGAACACCCAGTTTATTATTCCGGTGTTCAATGGGGAATTTATGTAATCTTCAAAATATTATTAAGATCGCCTACCCCTCAGACAAAGATTTTCCTAGATATTTTAATTTTTATGATTTTGCGTCAATAGATCGTTATTATTTGAAAAAATCTAGGGTGGCTGTGATATACCTTTTGTTAATTTAACAAAAATTAAAGATTGTAGAGTAAAATACTCAACGGTAATATAAAGATACACATTTAAAACATATTTTAATTATTACACAATTAAATCTAGATATAAACCTATAATTATGTGACAAAAATTAGCTAGATAAAATCAAATGCTCAAAATGCTTCCTTTCCTGTTAACTGCATAAAATAATTGTCTTTTCAAAAGGATTTTTTTATTTTAAAAATCATATGTGGTGTTCTACCTCGAAAAACAGCTACAATAGTTGGTCGAGTTTCTTCGTCCCTATTAAAAAAACCGGGATAGATAAAATCAAGAGCATTTAAGTATTCTATTAATTGTTGAATGCACATTGCATTTACCAACTAATAGAATCATAAATATCAATTCTTTCTGATGTAGGATAAGTTTGCATTTTCGGCAAATTTCTGAGAATTTTTTTGTTTTAACTGACACAAAACGATAACTAGTTGTTAAAGTTGTACTAATTAGACAGCTATGTTGAAGTAACGTCAGACATGTCACAGCACCCCCCTAGATATGTTATTAAATAATAAAGATCTACCCAGATAAAATCATGTAAATAAAAATATCTAGGAAAATTTTTGTTTGAGGGGTAGCCAAACTAATAGTATTTTGAAGAGACATGAATTCTCCATTGAATATCGAATTAAAATAAAAGAGTAGGTAACATGCTTTTAAAGGTGACCAATGTTCAATATTAATTTTATTACATACTAGTCTCACCCTGTATAACTTTTTGGATCAAGTTTTAATTTTATTTAAAGTACAATAGTTAATTTAACTACATATGAGGCTATACCGGGTATATTCCAATTTAGTTATTTTTATTGTAATTTAAAAATTGTTCTTTATTTCTAGAAAATGTTAAATATGTCAAAAACCTTACATTTTAGTCATATACTTCTCTTATAAAACTCACCGTTATTTTTCTCCGAGAGTCCGAAAATCAATTAATATATAGGGTTTCCATTATATTGTTCCATTACAACAAACACAACTTTGATATGTAACTTTTTTGGAGACACCCTGTAGAACTGCCTATATTTTTAAAAAGTGCTCTGAATTAACTTACATATGCTCACAAAATTTCATTTCAATACAAACTGTCGTTCACCTTGGAGCCTCAGCGGCGCATGAGAGGCACCACCCTGTACAGGGCGTTACATTTAAAAAAAATAGAGAAAAATTATTTTATATTTTAGAAAGTTTGCCGTAGAATTTGCAACACCCTGTATGATTTAAGATTACGATATTTATAGCAAGGTAAGTAAAGACTATTTAAAGCAAACACCTAGTATAGTTTTGACAGTTCTTAAGGAAGGCTGAAAATATATATTTTTTATTTATTTATTAATATCTCTGAAACTGTCGAAATATTCACTCATATCATGGGATTATGTAAATTGATCTGAAAGGAAACCAAAAATGCAATAATATACAGGGTGTTCCATTTAAAAAAAGTCACCCTATAGAAGCTAATTTTTTTTCCTGAAATACATCCTCATACATACTTTAGGTTTGCACTTGAACAAAATTCTCAAGTTTTTTTATTCTAGGAGCTACAGATGCCCGACGCACTGTTGCCCTGTAGAATATTAATTTTAAAATAAAGGTACCTACATTATATTTTAACAGGAAAAAGTAAATTTTACTCTGATCTACGAAACAAGATGTCCTTATTCTGTAGAATTTATTTTTGACCAACTCTATCCAGGATATCAGAAAATTGGAGAATATCTCAACGTAACCTTGCTACCATACGCCAGGGTAAGTTACAGTACATTTTGACTTTTTATAGAATTATTTTACACACAGAAAATATATTTTTATTGAAGGAAAATGAAGCGGATGGCGGTATTACTTGTCAGCATGGCGACAACGAATGCTACATTAGCAGAGCTCAAGTTTGTTCTTTAAAAGATTCTGCTATAACTCAAGAACTTCAAGTAGAATTTCTACATTGCTCTGAACAAGGAGTATATGATAGCCGAAATGTGACTGATGCAGATATTCAACAGGTTAGATTCTTTGATTCTTGTAAATAATTTTAGATCAAACCTAATTAAACTATGCAGGGTATTTCTTAAATAATTGCAAAGTTTCAAACTTTTAAGACGTATATAAGAGTGATTCACGGCGATGCGATGGCACGTTAAACGTTTATGGAGAACTGGTGATAGATTTTTTTTGAAAATTTGGATTTTTTCATAAAGGCACCTGCTTCCATCTATCTAAAATATTTTCAGCGTCACAATGTTGCCGCATCATTTGAAAAGTGGTACCATCTTTCTTATTTTAAATGAAAGACCTGGTATATTATTACATTTTCGGAAACTAACTTTCGTTTAACGTATCTCATAATTTTTCTATTATACCCTATACCTAAAATCTAACATTTTGGAGATAATAAATAAAACATATGTAAAATATACAAAAACATGATCTTGAATAAGCATTAGTAAAATCATGAGCCTAACCAATTGAACATTTTAAAAGGTGAAATTTGGATTATAAGTTAAGGAAAGTATACAGGTTGTTAACTGGACAATTACTTATAGGGGAACAGAATGGCAACACTGCCTATTGAGAACGTATGCACTTATAGGGTTTTCTGCCGACTCGTCCCGTCGCGTCGTCTATCGACGAGCGGGCCGAGGTTACCATGTTTCAACCATAAAGCTCTTTCCGTGAGTAATAAACAAATTAACAACATGTAGATATATTCGAGGGGGAGCCAAAAATTTATTTATTTCCGTTTTTGATAAGATTGCTCAAATCTTTGATATTTTAAATTCAACCCTACGTATATTATTTAAAGAATCAAAAGACCAATAGAATAGCTTTTCAACTATATATCATGGTCCTATACCTAAACCTTCCGGTTTCTTAAGTAGAGCTCTTTAAAAATTAATAATTCTATTATTACATAAATATAATAAAATTTTAGAAAGATACTTGAAAGAAACTGATACTTACCTATAAAGTTTGAATATATTTGCATGTCTTGGTAACGATTTTTTTTAAACGGAACAACTGTAATATTGGTTATGGTTTAAATGACTTTACTGAAGAAACCAGAAGGTTTAGGTATAGGGACATGATATATTAAGGGCTGGCAAAGGTTTGTCTTGGGTCGAGATTTCCGTATGTAGGAAGAGTACAATGCGTTTATAACGTACTGAACAAAGATAGAACAGTAAACACGTTGCCAAACGCATGAAATATACCGAGAAACTGTACACATTGCTAAGAGACGTGAAAGGGGATATAGCAGATTTGTCGCAGTTGACCGGTCGACCCAATCAGTACCTCTGTCAGTACTTAAGTTCTAGAGAAAGGTGTTCATCATGCGTGCAGCTTCACGATTTAATTACGTCTCGTGCTATTTTATTTGTTTATTTATTAACGAGTTGTTGTAATTTTCCCTATAGCTTAAAAAAATTTAAGTGCAATTGCATTTTTGGTAAAAATAAGTGGAATTGAGTTAATGTTCGACAGAGATTGCGCTATTAGAACTGTGAATTCAAAAATCAATATTTCGAAATCTATTAGAAATAATTGATTGTAGTTTTTTTCAAAATCTTTCTTAATATTTCTGCTATATTTTCTTCGCAGACAGTATGTGAAAATCTTTATAAATAAAAATGCACTAAAAGTAAATGGATGGGTTATTTAAAATTTTTGAATGGGAGAAGAGCAACTTTGTCAAATTTTTCTTATTTAAACATATTGTAAAAGATCCGATCTTTAAAATAAAATAAAAAGTTTCTAAAGTGGTTCTTAAGTTATGGCATGTTATGTGTTAAAAAGTTGAGTTTTTAAATTATCGCGATTACTGAACGTTTTTTCGTTATAAAAAAATACAACTACGATACCATAACGATATCCTTATAATACTATTTCAGATGCTCAGAAACATATCTAATGATTTTATCTAGTTATCTTTACGAAAAAAAAAGTATTTTAAAAATAAGCGGTTTGTGATCGTTTCTTACTTTGTTATCGATTTTACTTTACTTGATAGGGAAAGGTATACCGACAACGCCGCAACAGCACACCGTCGCATTTCTCTCATTCCGACTTAATAAGATGTAAGTACCGACCCAAAAGTAACAGTTGCCAGCACGGTATACTTTATGGGTATACTTACTGTCATTACTCTCTGACGAGTATTTGACATGCATCAGAAGATGGTTTACGCAAGGCGTTTTCTTTCATAAGCCCCACTTCTGTGACACAAAAAGCCCGATGCGTGATATTATCTCTCTTCCGCACTCCGGACATTCAAAAATCGCATTACTTTGTTGCCTCTTTATTTTTTGGTTGTTGTTGTTAACTGAGTTTACAATTCTCCTCCAATGCGTTCTATTGTGCGCTGTTTCCTCCCACTGATGCTGCAAAAATTCCAAATTTTCAAGAATTTTTTTTTGCGAAAAAAACTCATATTGGTATTTCTGGGGTCGAAATATATTACCCCTAAAATATTTGCACTTATTTAAGACTCACCCTGTATATTTTTTTAATAATTGGCTTTTATGGATAATGGATGGATATTTAAAAATGAACATTTTTTGTATTTAATATGCCCCTTTATAAACCATGCAACATCTGTATAAAACTTTTTTTTCATATTTTCGACAACGACGACGATATTGGACTTCCTCGCACTAATAAGCCACCCTGTACTTCACCTGTACTTCTCTAACGAGACTCGTCATCTTAATTTTTTTCGTAGAATTCGAAAATCAATTAATATTTAGAATGTTCCATTACAAAAAACAAAGTACTTTGATATGTAACATTTTTTAGGACACACTTATACACTATAGAATTCCATATATTTTTATAAAATGCTTTCAATTAACCTACATTTTTTTTCTAATTATCCTTTAGCTATTAAAATTTTATTTCAATACAAACTAACGTTCTCCTTGGACATTCTTCAACATCAGATACTTTTATATTGTCTGCTTTTGTTGCTTTACCTGACCTATTTCATATATGTTACCTTTAATTGTAATTAAATATTTAATATTTTTTTATATATTTTACAGTGTTTAACTTCGGTACTACCCAACATCTCATGGGATACTGTCAAGACTTGCATAGAAGGTGAAGAATCTACAAATCTGTTGAAAGATATTTACGATATTGCAGTAGCTTACGGTAGGACTTATGTGCCATACCTCATCTTTAATGAACAGCATGACCAAGACCTTGAAAACAAAGCACGTGGTGACTTCGTCGCAGCTGTATGCAGTCTGCTGACTAGCCCACCAGCAGTATGCCAATCTAACTGAAAAGCAATTATATACTATAAAGTAACAATGTACTTTAACATTATTACAACACCGTTATTATAAAGTAACAATGTACGTTAAGAAAAATAAAATTTCAAAAAAACTATAAAAACTACTCCTTTAAAACGTATACCTACCGCCTATACATGTCGCGTGTCAAAGTCACATATTTTATCTTTGAACAGTCATGAGAGTCATATAATCATTTCGAACGTATGACTTATTAAGCTTGATTTTCATGCATCCGTTATACGTTGATACGATGGTCCGACGGTGCTCTGATTGGTTATAGCATTTTCGCGCCACTTTTCATCCGCAAATATTTTACTTCTTGTCTATGCTTCAGCCCGTCAACGGACCCGTTCATACGATAACGGACATTTTGACACTTTTTTGAGAAATTTAATCTAACCTTAATAAAAATATAAGTAAAATAGCAAAATTGTTACAGAAACGAAAATATAAAATGACACCAACGTACATCCGATGAACGGAGGCATGAAAATGCAATAAATTTAAAAACTGCGTTATTTTCTAACCAATCAAAGTCTTTAAATTCTGCCAATAAAATTAATATCGTATCAACGTATCGTCGGACAACGGATGCATGAAAATCAAGCTTTAATCATAAATTGGTATAATTGGTATTTAATTTTCTATAAACAATAACAATAAATCAAGTAATTCTATTTACAAAACAGAAAACTTATACGTGTTCATAACCCATCAATCATAATCATAACATTCTGTTTCTATAACTCATACTCAGAATACCTACATATGTACTTAAATAAAATTAAAAGCGTTCAATTATATTTAATTTATTCAATACTGATATAAAAATTTATTCGTCAATGTCCAAAATATAATACTCTGTAATAAATAATTAGAAATAATTCATTAAGGTACAATATCACTAAAATTCCAATAAGTGTTTGTTACTTCCTCCACAACCTAACATTGGTACAGATTCTTTCTTTTTATTTTCTTTGTCATCTCCTATATCTAAAACAAAATAAATTTATGAAAAACATGGAAGAATCTACAGTATGATCAAAAAGTCGTTGATCAAGCGTACTTTACATGATAAAAAAATTCAATAAATTTAAGTTTAATAAATAAAAGTTCTGTTAAGCTTCTTATACTCAAAATAAGACGTTTTTTGAGAAATTATTGGCTTTTTGAAAATAAAATAGAAAAACGATAACAGAAAATTAGAGTTTATGGCTCCATGGATGTAGAATTAAAAGCAATTTTTTCACACCAAGCTGAATAAAATCAGCAAAATAAAGCACTAACTCACCATAACGATACACCAAAACGCTTTACACTTCTCTTTTTTGCACTGGACTCACGTTTCGCTAACCATGCATCAACAGCATCAACAGTTTTAATCACCTCCTGATGCTGCTAACATGGTTAGTGAAACGTGAGTTCAGTGCAAAATGTTTAATATTGCCTTTCTACTCTACTTTCAAAAACAGACAAAAATAATCTGAGCAATCTCCATTAGGGAAATTTATAAGAAAATTGGCATTTTTACTTTCTATTGCTGTTATGGCGTCTAGCGGCCAACTTTCAAACTTGATGATAATTTACAGCAGTGTTGCCAGAATTGAAGCATTTCTTTAGTCATGGAGATCGCCAACGCCTGAAGATAGGCACGACAAGAAGAAGGGCGGAAGGATTTTTATCCAAAAAGAAGACAATTATAAAGGTTTCTGACAGTTTTGCACTATAAAAATTGTTAAAGTATGTAGTAAGAGCATTTTTTCTACGAAAGCAGCCTGTGGCTCCGTGGGTGAAGCGGTTGCTTCGGGAGCGGGGGGTCCTCAGATCGATCCCCGACAAAGGTAGTTTTAACTTTAACTGTTTTATTTATTTACAGTTGTTTTTATTTTTTTATTCAGATTGCACGCGAAATACCCGTTTCGCGTGCACCGAAGTTTCATTTTTAGTACACGTTAACGTGTACCTAGACACAGCGTTTTTTCAAAGGAGTATATCCAGAAAATCGACAATCGAAATTTTTCTGATTAAATACATATCGAAAACAGTGCATTTTCAAAAGACAGTTTAAATGGGGCGAATATAGAGATCCATTAGCTCTATCCGTATAAGCCTCACTGGTCGTTTAGCTACTTACCGTTAAGGAAACATCTTATTTTTATTTACACATTTATTTTTTTTTCTGCCGATATAATTTAATGTAGCGACTAAACGCCAAAATTTTCGAAGTGACTTCCACGCTAAAATAAAAACACACGCATTCTTTGAATGCCTTGATTAATCTCTGGAGGTATTTTTTTATTCAGATTGCACGCAAAATACCCGTTTCGCGTGCACCGAAGTTTCATTTTTAGTACACGTTAACGTGTACCTAGACACAGCGTTTTTTCAAAGGAGTATATCCAGAAAATCGACAAATCGAAATTAAATACATATCGGAAACAGTGCATTTTTGAAAGACAGTTTAAATGGGGCGACGACGCATTCGACCGGACTGTTAGCCATATTATTAGAATTATTTTTCCCTTAAGTTCCAACATCCTCTTATATTGGACCATGCTGTATGAAACTATTTTATGAAGTGAAACTCAAAAAAAGATATCTTTTAAATATTAGTTTGCAGTGTAGAACCAAAATTTATTTCATATCAGTATATATGTTAGGGTTAAGGTCCGATGTCCGGTTAATGTCGACATTACCCGGTTAATCTCGAGAATAACACACAACAAAACAACCAGAAACATAACCTAACCCAAACATTAACGTGCTAATGTCGACATTAACCGGACATCGGACTTTAACCATAACATATACATCATAATTCCATACTGATGAAATGCTTACTAATTCAGAGGTTATTAAACCAGCCGTTACGTTTATTATACAAGCATACATCAACTTACCAGGGGGCAAGTGTAGCATATCAATAACAAACTTCTTCCTTCTTAATTTAAAGACGTATTCTACAGAACCAGGATGCTTTGAGGCTAAAGAATTTATTGCTGCTAATTTTGTTAAATAGAAAAAACCATGGTAGTCCTGTAAACTTTGATTGTTCTCTAATTCAGTACCAGTAAAAGATTGGAGCCTCATTGATATGTCACTAGAGTGAATGCATCTCTCTAAAGATTCCTGAAATTTCTTATCATTAGCAATGGATACATTTCTGGATAGAGAATGTAAAATTTCTAAATTTGAGACACTCGAAAAATAACATTAAATACAATTTACTTTTGAATTAAAATTATAAACAACTGTCACTGTCATATATTCTCTTGTGTGTCTATGTATAAGGAAACCCCTCTTATACAGGGTGGTCCGATCTGTATTCTGGAAACTGTGACAGCATATTCTGCAGATAAAAATAAGCAAAAAAGTTCATATAAATGTATGTCCTAAAATGCTTAGTTTCAGAGATACAGAGTCTAGAAGTTTCATTTTTAATCGGATTTTTTCCAAAATTTTTCGGAAGTAACGTCAATATTTGGATTAAAATTGGTGTCTGGGAGTTTTTTGATATGAGAAATTTGATTTTGATGTCAATATGACTCCTATTTGTAAAGGACGGCACATACATATTTTTAACTGGTTTGAAGGGTCATAACTTTTTGTCCGTACATGTATAAAACAACTGAGTAAAAAATATACATTTACGACGTTTCTTACGTAAAAAAGGTCTCTCGGTAAAAAACGTTACGAGTAATGGTTCTCGAGATATCTGGAATCGAAATTATGATATCTATCATCATTGACTTGACATAAATTAAACATGTTGACGAAATAGTTATTAGACTGAAATCATAAATTTGAAATGTTTTTGTGTCAAAAATTCAACAGAAACTGTTTTATCATTGTTTTTTCGCAGAAAAATTTATTATTAATTTAAAAAAATAAAAATTTCACCAATTTATTATTTCAGTCAAATAACTATCTACTCTACGCGTGTTTATTTTTTGTCAATAATGATATGTATTGACCATTTCCATTCTAAATATCTTAAGAATGGTTATTCGTAGCGATTTTTACCAAGAGGCATTTTTTACGTAGAAAGTCACGAAAATGTATATTTTTTCACTAAGTAGTTTTATACAGGTACGGATGAAAAGATATTACTCTTCAAAAGAGTTTAAACACATGTAGGTGGCGCCCCTATAAGTAGGAGTCATATTGACATCAAAATCAAATTTCTCATGTCAAAAAACTCCCGGACACCAATTTTCATCTAAATATTGACGTTACTTCAGAAATTATTTGAAAAAAACCGAAATAACATGAAACTTCTACACCCTGTATCTCCAAAACTAAGCATTTTAGAACATACATTTATACAAAGTTTTTTACTTGTTTTTATCTGCAGAATATGCTGCCGAAGTTTCCGGAAGACAGTTCGGACCACCCTGTATACTATTTGTTGTTTACTTTTATTTATTTCTCAAACAATATATACCATTTAATTAGTGAGTGTAATAAAATAAAAACTTATCTGTACATTTTTCTTTATGTAGTATTTTTAAATTATTTATAACATTACATTAATCAAATTTTCCATATTTTTCACTAATTATTTTTTAATATTTTAATTTTAATATTATTAATTATTTTAGATACAGTTCTGCTTGTCTTATTTTATTTAATATAAAAAATTATGATATAATTAAAATAACCGTATGTAAATATAATAATGATTTTCCTAAGTCAACATAACTGCTACTTAGGTAGGTACCTAGCAATATTAGGTATTTAACACATTTATATCTTAAACAAAATTACTTACCTCCCCATATAAATATGAGGGAACTGTAATAACAGCTACAGCATTAGCAGATCTAACTAGAGCCCGAAGGCAAAAAATAAACATATTTAAATCTTGGCTACTACTATCCATTGAGTGTATAGATTTTCTACATGGTAACCACATTGGAGAACCTATTAAATTCGAAAAAAAGTCTATTATTAGTAAATAATAAATTTATTTTAAATATACTACACTATTTTTTACATAATGAAGGCATTATTGAATTATTGTATGTAATTTTTTTACAACAAAAAGTAGACATAACATTGTAGTTTTTATTAATTTTATCTCAAATATTAACTATAAATTACACTTGTACAATATTTAAATTACAGAAAAAAATTCACACAATACCACAGTCTTTCTGTATTTGGTTTTGTTATAACAAAAACAATCTATGTAGCATTTGTATTTGTCTAGTTGCAGTCTAGAATATTTAACTCAAATATCTAATACCATCGAATTTTTTTCATAATAAGAATGCGTAACAATTTTCATTATAATCAGATTTGCAATATCATAAAATAATTATTTATAAGAATTAATAATAACCAAAAAAAAATTAAAATAACAAAAAAATTAAAAATAATAACCAATACAGAAACTTACCTAAAGAATGAATTCCTATTCGAAGTATTGTTTTACTTTCAGGATTGTCTTTCAAAAAGAACTTTCCCTCTTTAATTTTATCCTTAACTGATTTCAAGAGATCATTATAAGCAGGATTTAAAAATGAATTTGTACCTAAACAAACAAATACGTATGTAAGTACTATATTATGATCGAAAAACAACGGCGTCAGCGATGGCTATGAAATGAAGATCGCTGTGGTTTTATATGTAAATTTATATGGGAAATTTTATAGATTGTCAATTCCCAGCCAACTGGAAGCCGCTGTTTTTTTTCAATCATATGGTATAAGACAACTGTAATGTATAAAAGAAAGAATGAAAGAATTCTATAAGTACTAATAAATGTCTTTTATAGTAACCTGTTTCTATTCTTTGGCCTGTCCAATAATAAATATCTGAATTTTCTAAATCACTAAAAGACATAGTCCTTGATAAATCAAAATGATGACCGATATGTTTGATATGAGAGCTCTGCATTGCTGAGGATATATTTTGATATCGAAATGCTATTTTCATTTTATCATTAATTTCATGCCCTTTTGAAGGGTTCTCTGGTTCTGGATCACTTTCAATCACAGCAGGTAATTCACTAACCTTAAATGAAATATTAAAATATAAAAATTAATAGTATTATTACCTAAAGGCCTGTTTACACTACGTACAATACGGTACAATGGCAATTTTAGTTGCCCGAACGCACTTCACACTTTTCGATTAGCTGATGCAATTTTCATTGCATGGAATTAGAACACGAGCTAATTTGATTGCACGTAGCATGCAACTTTTGCTTCTACCAACCAAAAAAATCAAATTTATAATTAAAATAATATAGTTTCTGTTTTACAATTCATGTTATAGGTACAAATAATAATAAATTAAGATACAAACTCAAACTACAAAATCCAAAAACCTTTAATAAGACATACAACGATACCTCATAGATAAAATAAAAAAATAAATGAAACAGTTGTTATATTCATTTTATTTAGGTTGGCACGATAGATTCTCAAAATTATGTTATGTATTTTATTGCACCATAATTGCATTCTATGTAAACGGTAAATTGCGCGTGCAGCCGAAATGCATGCCATTTTTAAAAATTGCGTTGCATCCAATTGCATGTAGTGTAAACACCATTTAATATGAAGTACATACAAAAAGCAATAAAATAATTATGACATTACCTAATACCTATATGTTGATAAAATGACTGTTGATAAAAATACAAAATACACTGCACATATCTCTGGGAAAATACTACCTATCATTTAATGTGAGTCATAACATGCATTCTAGTACAATATTTTATAGGTAAAATGTAGGTATCGTATTTATATATTATGCTGAAGCATATATAAAAATAAGTTTTAAAATACTGATTTGTATTTAAAGCCACCTTATTAAAAACCCGAAATAAAAAAATATGAAAGTTTAATTACTTCTGAGTATACCTACTACTATGTATCATATTTTTTAAATCTACTTACTATATTTGCTGGATTAACATCTTGACTAGCTATAAAAATGGAATGCTTCGCTGTTAATCCCTCTGCTAAGAAATATTTAAGTAGAACTTTTGAGTACAGTCCTCGAAAATCTTCCTCTATAAATTATTTCAATAAATATAAAATCTATTTTGCAGATGAGAGAAATGAATATTTACCTATTAAAGCTACTGTTCCCACTGGTAAACCTCCTCCTAAAAATTTGAAACGTTTTTTACAGTTTTCTGAAACAAAGAAAAAAAAATAACCTAGAAACTTACCTAAAACTGTATCCAGAGAATCAATCCCTGAAGATACTAATAGATGTCCATGTTGGGTACTTATCACAGTCCCTGGAATAGAATATAATTTCCCTTTTTCCATTAAATATAGGTTTGAAAATATGTACAATTATAAATACAGCTCTTAACGAATTTTCTTTTTTTCAGCTTTCTCTTTTATTATCTGTCAACTCAACTGTCAGCACTGTCAGCTAATTTACTAAAGCGCGGTTCAGACGCAACGACTTACGACTTTGTTCGTACGATCTGTTTGCGTCGACGCGTCGACAAACGGTGCAAACCAATTTTGGGTAAAGTTTTTTTTACTTGAAATCGCTTATGAAAAAAGAACAAAACATCAATTTAAAGATATTTAAACTGAAGAAATACAATAATTGACAATTGGTTAACGTTTTTCCTTCATCGGACATTATTCTATCCTTATTTTCCCATCTCCCTTACACCGAAAACGTTTGCCAGATTTACCACGAGTTTTATGTACGATGGATTTACCTGCACCAAACCTGTACATTGCTATTAATTAGTAGTCGATTAAACACCACAACAAATTATGAAGTAATAAATAATTTCGTTATATTTCTACAACATATCAAATACATTAATTTGCTAACGTTAATTATTTCATTTAATACTTAATTGCTTAACTATCTTAAATTTTATAATGGAATAAAAATATAATGGTCAGTCTCTCAACTTATGGCTTCCATGCAGCTTCCATGAAGGCTTCCAAATGACAATAAACAAATATTTTACTTTATTAGTAATGTCGGTTAAACGTAATTTTACCCAATTTGTCCTTTTTTAACTTTATTTAAACAAATAGTAAACATTAGCCTAGTCCATGCACTTGCGAATTGCGATTTACGAATTGCGAAATGCGTTATGTTTTTGTTCTGATTGGTTGCCTTCAAGAAAGACCTTGAAAGCGACCAATTGCAAAGTTAAAAAAGGGCAAATTTGGTAAAATTACGTTTAACCGACATTGCTAATAAAATAAAATATTTGTTTATTGTCATTTGGAAGCCTTCATGGAAGCTGCATGGAAGCCATAAGTTGAGAGATTGACCATTATATTTTTATTCCATTATAAAATTTAAGATAGTTAAGCAATTAAGCATTATATACTTGATATGTTGTAGAAATATAACGAAATTATTTATTACTTCATAATTTGTTGTGGTGTTTAATCGAATCAGAAAGGCCATGATAATATGACGGAATACAAAAGACCACCATAAATCTGACGGACAAGTCGTGGTAATATGCACAAAACTAGATATTTACGTTCTATCTACAACAATTCGTTGTTTTTGTACGTTGTACGTTTATGCTATTTGTACGTTTTAAGCCCCGTTCTCAGAACAGCGACTGTCGCCAGCGACACGTCAAGAGGACCAATGAGATTTGTACAAAATTCAAACAGCTGTCAATTTTAAATTTAGTACAGCTCCCATTGGTCGTTTGAAGTGTCAATCAGTGTCGCTGTCGACACGACGCAGTTCTGAGAACGGGGCTTTACGCAGGCAAATCGTGCAAAGTCGTTGCGTCTGGACCGCGCTTAACAGTTTGATAATCAATCTTTCAGTTTAGCCAGAGAAATAGAAGGGATAGAGAATCTTCAACATGCGCGGAAGGTCTAATCAAGTTGGGCGCCATATTCCAGGTCTCCGTGTCATTTTGTATATAGGTGGTAATCTATAAGTAATCAAATATCAATTTGCTGTTTTCAACCATACGGGGGGCAATTTAAATTTAGTGGAATTCTATCATTTATTATGGTTAGTTAACATTAATATGATTTATTTAATTATCAGTTTCAAAACTGCGTACAATATTGGTATATAATACACTAAATATAAGAATATTCTGACAAAAGACGCTACGGACAGATGACCTTTTCGTCGTTAAACACTCGAGATGCCATTAAATAAGTATTTAAATTATTTCATGTTTACTTATACAGAATTACGCGTTTCAATTTAAAATTTTTGCAAATTTGGTAAAAATTGTTCTAAACAACTTTTTGTTCAAGTTGTATATTCATAAAAAACATTTGGTGCATAATTATTTTTGATGATTACTTACTTTGTATTTTTAATATAAACCTAGAAAAAATGTTTTTGTTTTATTTTTTTTATTCGTCCCTTCAAATTGTGTTACCAAAAATTGTTACATAACATGTCTTCTAACAAATATTTTCATAATACATAAACATCATTGATTTTATTATGGGTATTATTATTAGTATTTATCCTGGTTTTTGTCGACAAAAAAAACTCAGTCTTGTAATAGAACATCAATTTTATATTTCGTAAAATTATTTTGATACAAATTCAATTTGTCAAAATTCAAGTCATTAATATATTGATAAACAACCCAAATTATTCCTAAATATTTTATTATAAAAAAAACTGTTACCGGTAAGTTTGTAAAACACATTATCGTTTGTCTTAATACTACAAAAAATAATTTATTTTTTGCACAAAAGAAGCTTGTCGATCCTTATTTGTCCATACCAAAATTCTGTATGTACAACATACATATACCTAATTTATTAAGAAAATTAGATTATATGATCTCAGAATTTTAAGAAATTTTTTTTAAGATAAAATAGTTTCTTCTCAACTGTAATATTGTCAACTTTGGCCTGTATTTTATCTATTTAAAAACATGGGATTGACAATCCCCTGATTAAGTTTCATTGCATCAAATACCTTTGCTATAAATCCTGGCTCACAATTTAAGGCCATTGCAAAATGCTTTTGAGCTTCATCATAGATTTTACAAGAATAAAAGTGTAATATTGAAACAAAGTAACATTGTAAGCTTCATGACTAATAATCTCATTTTTAACACTCTTTAAATATCATCTCGTTAACAATTATGAATATTATATGATTTTTCTCAGTGATTTGTGGCACAGATACAAATTAATATATGCCCCATAACAGTTTTTAAATAAGAAACTTCTGCCTACAGATTTAATTTTCTTATTGGCATAATACCCTTTCTTCCTATATAAATCTGCCATTTTTCCAGTCCAATGTTCCTTGTTTTTACAGTTGTAGGAATACTAAAAATGTTGACTATAGAACTCGATACTATGTTTGAAAAAGCCTTCATACCTGTAACTGTGCATAAATCTAATTAACTGAATTCTCCTCCTCTTGACACTCTGAACACAGCCGCTGCTAATGTTAGAAATATTTAGCACAAAACTACAACTACCTACAACAAACTTTACAATAAAAATGTTAAATTTTCGCTGTTCGATTAAAATACCCTATCTTATGTTTTCTTTTCCTCCAAATAATCTTCTTGTCAAGTAAGGACCAATCTTATTTGATATATTTCTGGTCACTTGAACTTGTGCTTTCATGGACACTATAAGAGTGCACTGTTTTACAGAACCACGAACATTGATTCCAAGTATCTTCTTCCTCCACACGTAATAAAAACATCCTCTTTAAATGGCCACATCATACACTTATTTTTGACCATTCCCAATTACAATCACGATTTTTACAAATCGCCTTTAGGAAAGTTAAAAATAAACAGTTTTGAATCATCTGTAAACACGATTATGTTGTATAAACTTACACATGAAAACTAATCATTATTCCCGGCGTATTAGCTTTCTAGAATGACTATGAATATACAACAAGCCTTTTTGAATTAGTGTTTAGAATAATTGAGATAATAATAAATTTTAACTAGATAACAACACAAACGAAAAACAAAACAAAACAAACAGATGTCAATTACAGAGGGGAAGTGACAGCGAGACCTGGAAGATGTCTGCCATCTTGCCGTCGACAAAAATTTGGATGCGTTGGGATGCGCACTCACAAAACACATACACAAGAAGAAGTGCGAGCGCCTTGCTAAATATTGGAAAGTGAAATTGACGTTTAAATTTGACACTGTTGACAAGTCTACTGCTACTAGCGCCCCCAATTTCGCTTGTAGGAACTACGGACTAAATTGGCACGCATGGCGGGAAGTTTAAAAAAATAAACAATTTTATTTCTTCATTTATTTTTAATTATGACATACACAAAAACACAAAAAATACACCATTTTTTAAAAATATGTTTAATATCAATATCAAATATACAACAGAAATTAATTTCACCACAATAAATTAATAAAATTAAAAGAATAATGTTACAAGTAGATCAAGAGACAAAATTAATTATAACAAAACTGAAAAAAATGGCGTCATAGATGGCTTAGAAATAAAAGATATATCATAATTTTGAAAGTAAAATTATATGGGAAATGTCTTCGATCATCATTTTTAAGCCAACTGGACGATTATTTCAAACATACAAGCTGAGTTCGTTCATAGTGCTCTGAGAAATCTAGATAAACAAAGAATAATAAATTAAAAGTATTCCAGGGGAAAAGAGAGGAAAAACCTGTATCGTCTCTGATATCTGTCAGGGTATTGTTGAAAGTGTCATCTTTTTGCTCGAAGTTTTCAGGTCGATCAAAAAGATGACATTTACAACAATACTTTGCTGTAACTTTCACAAATATCAGAGAGAGTACATACAGGTATTGCCTCTCTTTTCCTCTGGGATGCTTTATATCTGTTGTTCTTTGTTTATCTATATTTCTCAGAGCATAATGCCGAACACGACTACAGTATATAATAATTTCAATATCCGAAGTGGAAAGAAAAAAGATCACCTTTCTGTTTTGTACTATGGTCCCTTTCTTCCGATGGCTCATCTCGTTGATATTTAGGAAGGATAAATAGGAAGGAAAATATAAAATTCAATTTGATTTGATGATCCTTTTCTGTCACCTAAAATCAGGAGAACGACAATGAGCATGTTAAGATGAACAAAAAATTATCAACACTTACCTACACGTTAGTCCGAGGAGTTTTATTAAAAACCTATATATTTGCCTAAATAATTTATGTATTAAATTTGCAAAGCAAAATGCAGCGTGTAAACAAAAGAAATAAAATGGCGACAGGTCAACGTCAACGACCCGACAAGGAGAAAAGTGGTGTTCGAATCATAAAATAATTAACTAGAAAGAAGTGTCAACTCTGTGTTAAATCGTGGAAACACGATACGCCACCGAAAGCCTTCGTTGTCGTCTGGAGAACTAATTTTCCAATTGACAGGTTGACATGATAAGGACATGATGACTTAATTTTCATTTCCGTTTCCGGTTATTCAATGGCGGGCCCTCTTTCAGTTCAAATGTATTTTGTATTTTTTCTTTTCATAAATAAAACCAAAAAATAATTTATTCACATATATTTATTTGAAGTATGGAACAACGTGACTAAATAAACATAAAAATATAGAGGATTGTATTGTTTCAATACCAATTAGTTAATTATATGTACTTTTAACGTAAATTAGTTAAGGTATAAGCATGACTTACAGTAATTTGTAAATAAACACACGTATTCGCAGACTTCAAGGACAGAAAACGGACACAGGGACATGAAAACGGGAGCCTTATACAAAAACCTGAAAACAGAAAAACAAATTTTTTTATACTAAAATTAACAATGTAAAAATATCAATAGGTATAAAATATAAATATACTGTTTAAAAAAGCGTCCATTATTCCCAAAGAGACCTGGCTTATAAATCAAAAAGAAGCAAAAAGAGACTTTTAGTCGGATAACATAATCAGATTATCAGTCCGATTTATTGCATTATTGACAATAAATCGCACATATTGGAGATAAATGATGTTGGCTATAGTTAAAAATGATCTTACCTTGCTGTAAATTGTTTCCATTTTCAAAAAAATCGCCGATCAAAGAGATTATAACACCATTTTCTTGCATCTAAAAAATGTAAAAACAGTGTTTATTTACTACCTATTTTTCATATACATGGGACATACCTACTACGGCAGAAACGTCATTTTCTCCAGGATTCTTCATGTAATATATATTTTATATACTTTATTACCTTTATAATTATAAATTTCAGCCGAAATATTAAATTGAACTTCCAAAACGAAACTAAACGGAATGAATTAAAATGGCGTCGAATATTTTCGACACAATTTTCGAATTTGTTCTAGAACAAATCTGAAGTTGTCTCTGAAACTGAAATCTGTCAATTCTAAACTGTGAAGTTAGACAATAGTTAGACAAAAACAATGCTGTCCTTGTCTAGGCGGCCATACTTGTCGTGAGGAGAATGACAAGAATGACACTAATGACTGTTTCCAATTTTCCTATTTCACTGTCACCCCCCTGGTTCGAATAACAAATTATGGGTCACAAAAAATTGTTTTTGTCTCCTTTCAACGCACACTTTCGAAAGAAAAAGAGATGAACTGGAATACTGAAAGAACGTCAAGGCTTTATCTGTCACTCTTGTCAATAATTTATCGGTAAGGAAGATTCCTAGAAAATCGCTTGTAGTCAAGTTTTCAACCATTTCCAGTTCTCCCATAAGAAGTGTCATCCACCTGTGCGCACTCGTCGAAGCTCATTCTCCCACTTCCATATCTCTGAGTTTAGCCAACATATAGAACTGTCAATAAACAGACAAATATTTAACAAGGATTAATTTAAATGGTGTAAGAACACAATGAACATCTGGGTGATTTTTTATAACTGTTTTATTTATTAAGGCACCTCTTTAGGCACCTAATAAAATTTATAGGTATAAGTAGTAAAAAACAAAACAACTAGTCAAGTATGCCATTGATTATATATCAAACATAATGTCATTTATATTATGTATGTTCTGTGGTCATTTCCATATTTCCAGTTGCATGTCATTTGTCTTGTTGGTTTTGTTTGGAGGTTATATTTATTTTTAAATATTTCTATTAAAATTTAGTATTTTTTAGTATATTAGGAAATAGTGTTTCTTATTGCATATTCAAGTCAGTTTTTAACTTGATTTCTTATTTTTTCTTATTTGGACAATTTTTGCTTTGGGCTAATATTTTTAAAGCTAGTATGGAGGGTGAAAGTATGATTTTTTTCCTATAATATTTGTATATTTGTACGTTAGTAATATAATTTACAGAAGTTCAAGAATATTTCCAAAAAATTACAAATGAAGAAACGGATGTATCTGCTGGCGTAGCTGCTATAAGAACTCTTATGGAAGTTATTAAGCTGTCTCAATGTAATTATTAATTGCCAATTATTTTTTATTGGGTAAATTTATAAAGATTACAATATTACTACTTGAATACGCTAGTAGTAGCCTTTTTACATAATCTATGGAGTTGGAATATGTGTAGAATGAGTTAAAAAATATAAATAGAGAAATCACAAATTTCATCGCACTACAGCAAACAGTTTATTGTAGTTAAACGAATATAATAAAAATATTATAGTTTATATGTTTTACAGCTGAAACAGTTCAAGAATTAGAAACTAACTTAAAGGATGCAATTCATAACATCAAAAATTGTAATGTACCAGTCGCAGCCATTACATCAGGATGTGAGTTATTTCTGAGATTTATTACTCTGGTTGGTATGGATACAGTAGGGGTATGTATTCCATTAGTACATTTTACATTTTTTTAATTTGAATTAAATTATGCAGAAAATATAAAATATGCTTATTATAATATTTCATGTACCTAGTGTTATTTAAGAATTTTATTTTACAAAATTAGTGTTTAGTTTCTCTTAGTTTGTGATTTTTTGTATTAAATTTATTGTCCTGTTCAGTATGTTGTTTATATTCTTCCTAACTGCTTATTTGTTTTAGAGCTTTCGAGATTGCAAACAACTTATGTTAGACCGTGGTAATATTTGCTTAAAGAAATTTGATGAAGCCAGAGGAAAAATCTCCAAATTAGCATCTAAATTTCTAATTGATGGATCTGTAAGTTCTCAACTACTCACTTTTTTTATCAATTTTTTCAAATATAATATATATACAGACTCAAAGTACAGACTGATCTATATTTCTCCAATGAATTTTGAGAGTGACATTTGTAATACTTCATTTTAATTTTTGTCTATCATAAAAGCTAAAAATATATACTTTTTAGCGAATGATGTAGAAAAGCATTACGTTTAATTTTGACTTTACTCACTCTGTATACAGTATGTCCCCCGGATTGTCTTTACAAGAGGAAAAACTTTTTTTTATTGACTTTTTGAGAAAAAAGCATTCTTCATAAAAACGTTTGCTTGTTCTAAATCTTCTGTTCTTAATCCCGTTTATACTTTTCCAAATTTCCATACCGATTTAGAGAAAATTAAAAAAAGCATGAAAATATGGTTGATTTTTTTCTAAAGCTTCATTCAGAACCTTGCAATTAGTGGAGTAAATTAGTGGTTTCAATTAGCGAAGAAGTTTATTTGAATGTAAGCATTCAGAATGTCAAAATTAATGATAGAAATTTTCAATTAGTGAAAAAAGTTAACAAACTCTCAACTTTTCCACTAATTATACTTCAAGAGAGTATTTTACTTTTACGAGGATTGTCATTTTGGCCCTTGCCCTTTTTATCATCTGTCAAGAAAAAAATGTGGTTAGAAATCAAAAGTTTATTGTTTTATAAGTTAAATATTATAGTACGAGAGCTAGCAACGTCTGAAAAACAACTACTTTAAGAAATCTAACTCTTTCTTATATCTTTTACTATGATCTCTGGAACAGCAGGCAGGCCAATGCCTTCTATTAAAAGATCAGCCTACGGGCGAGATTTATGACGTCACGCTAGTTAGATATAACGGATTAATAAATATGTTGTAGAATACATGGAAAACATAATTATTCCTCAGATTTTTGGTTTGTATTTTAAAAATGATATAGTTTAAATGAAATATACATAATATACAGTTAATAACTACAACATATATACCTATTTATAGTAATAAATACTTTGGCAAATAAACTATGAACCATACAAATGCAGCAAATGTTTTACAATGTACAAATAATGTATAGGTACATAAGATAATGGGTAAAATGTAAATATATTTTAAATTTTGGGGTTTGAAAATCGATCTAATTTAACAAAAAACATTTAATATCTACTAATAGTGATGTATTATTATTTGCATTCACAAAATTTATATGTATATTTTGCAAGTATCAATGTTCGAAAAATTATATTTACAAATAATACAATATTATCTAAAAAAAGGCGTCAGCGATGGCTATGAAATGAAGATCGCTGGCATTTTATATGTTAAATTATTCTAAAATTTTTGATTTTCTTTGGATTTTTAGGTTCGGGAAAAACGCTGATTAAGTTTTCATTTGGGTTTTCATTATTTTTATTTGGTTTAAAAAAAACGTTTCGGCTAACTATAGCCTTCACAGTGTTGTGTCATATGAGAAAAATAGTGTCGAATATAATCCAAAAATTACATATACAATATAATTCACACCTCATAATGTTTACTGCAATTAATAAACTAATATAAACTTATCAAAAGATGACCACATATTTTTTAAAATTATTATTCTTAACACTAAAATTATCTACATTGACTATGGAGTACGCAGTAAACATTATGTGCGTGGTGTGAATATTTTATATGCAATTTTTGAATTATATTCGACACTATTTTTTCATATGACACAACACTGATGGAGGCTATAATGTTAGCCGAACCGTTTTTTTTTAAACCAAATAAAAATAATGAAAAACCAAATGAAAAATCAATCAGCGTTTTTTCCGAACCTAAATTACAAGAAAATCAAAAAATTTAGAATATTTAGAATCAAGGTTCAAGAATATCAAATTTTCCAAGATTGTAAAATTCTAGTTAATTATTTTATGTGTACAGTTATTTAGGGAATGGCATCGATGTTCATTTCCAAGCCAACTAGACGCCGATTTTTTTCGATGATACGGTATAATTCTTACGTAAAATGTAAATAACATTAGACCAATTAAAACAAAGAAATATGAATTTCTTAGTATTTTTAGTAACACCTTTATTCTTAAAACTTAATTTTGTATTATGCAAATATACCAATTTTATTGTTATTTTATTCATATTGTATTCAGCCATCACTTAAATATTTGATTTTAATTTGGTATTATAAATAATCAATACTATTCATTAAAAATTACTGAACAAATATATGTTATGCTTAACATACATTATATATTATCAAACAAAAACACATTCTTCTTTTAAACTGTATCAGTCTTGTCTTTACAAAATCTTTTTAAAATTTGAACTCAAAATAATAATCTTTTTTCATGATCTCTAATACACATATTCTTTATTTTTCCCTAGATCATAATACCTACTTACGTGTTTGAATCTATCGAAGCTGAACCAGCAACACTTGGAGTGGAGATTCCACAATATGAATAAAATAAACATAATTGTCCAGTTTTCATTAATACCATCATGGGAGAATATTATTTTTAAATTTATTAAAGATATTTTCAATAAAATTCTCTTGATTTATAACTCGTACCCACTTTTCTTGCTCTTCCGGACACTTTAGGCTGCCTAGTATAATAACTATCCTTAGTAACCATCCTTTCCACCAGGAACACAACAAAGATGAGGCATAGCACCAATAACACACTCCACTTAAGCTTTATTGATGAATTGTTAGAGTCTTAAAAACACACACAAAAATCACGATAAGTAAAAAATGTATGGGCACTTTTAGGTTAAATCACTTGCACAACGTGTAATTTTTAAAATTTCTATTTTTTTGTGCGAAACCGAGAGTGACCATATATCTGGTAGTAGTTTATGTCACTTCAACACCAAAATAATTAGTTTTTTGCACTACAATAATAAATAATACCAAAAATCAAAGAGTTAAAACCAAAAATCAACCGACAAAATATGAAACGGAATCTAACCCAATATCTAAGTATGTACAGCTGATGAAGTAAACAAAAGTCCGCCCGTAGGCTGATCTTTTAATAGAAGGCACTGGGCAGGCCGTCTGGCTGCGTTGCGTTGCGTTCACTACTACACATTGAAAGAAGTTCCTATATGTTTATTTAGTTCTTTAAATACTAGTATTGAATAAAAATCGAAGTCGTGAGAAGTCCAGAGTTCAATACTGGCTCGGAGCAAACTTTTTTTTATTTTATTTTCGTTTATATTCTAATAGTAAAGTATTAAATAATATTGATGATTAACCAAACCAAACCAAAACAATTATTTAATACTTTACTATCAGAATATAAACGAAAATAAAATAATAAAAGTTTACCCCGCGCCGGTATTGAACTCTGGACTTCTCGCTTTATAGGCTGAACGTTTTCGCGCCGCGCTATGGGGACTTGTTCGACTTATATTCAATACTAGAATTTAACGGACTAAATAAAAAATATACGGTAAAATACGGTAGAGTAGATTGACAACTGGGGGCCTCGGTGCAATATTTTCGAGCTGCCCTTTATAAAAAGGTAGACGAATTTGACGCGATTTCTGCGGTTGGCGGAGAAAACATATCTATGCTTGGCATGAATTGGGGACGGATTAAAAGCTAAGTCTGAGAACTAAAAGCCAAGTGTAAATTGTTGTTGAAAATGTTGCTAAAAATTACTGAGACAGCAGAGAAGAGTTAAATAAGGTTCAAACTAGATTAGATAATAAAATATTAATATGTCTCGAAAATCCAAATATTCTTATTATAGACTATAAGATAGCTTTACATCAGAACATATTTATATCCACTGCCTAGGTATTGCCTAGATTTTTTTCGTTTGAGTCATGGCATTATCATACAAGATGCCAAATATAAAAAAGAATAGAGGAAAAGTTTCATGATAAGAAATAAGAACCGCGGTTTAGTCAGTTAAAAACACGTGTACACGAGGAGGCTGCTGCTGTAGCAGAAAAGAAAGAATTTCTTTCTACAATGTGTAAGAAAGTATATATCCGAAAAGCTAAAAGTAATGTATTTCACAGAGGATTGGGTCAGCTGAACTGAATGAATCAGGAAGTCTTAAAGTTTCTCAAAATCGTGACTCAAAATCGTAGCCTATTCAAGATCAAATTACCGTTATCGATAATCAGGGCCGGCGGAAGGAAAATATTGAGACCGGGCGAGTACCATGTCTGGCGCCCCTTCCCCCCCTAATAGTTATTATAACTCTCTCTTTCCTTCAATACTATACTTTAATTACAACTAAGCATATTTATGCTACTTTAACAACAAATTTTTACTTAAAGATACTTCAAAATTCTTCTCTTCGTTCAATCTTAGTCTATACGGTTATTGTTTTTTCTACACCGGGTGTAGTAGAAGTAGTGTAAACATTGGTCTTTACGAAAATTTTGATCAAAACAATTTAATTTTTTTTAAGAAACCGGAGTCAAAAGATATTTTTTGCACGAGCGAAAAACACCCTACTACTAATATTAATAAATAAAATATGTTTCTTCGTTATGGTCATTTTGTTTTTGTGGATTTGGGCCGGTTGCCTGTTTTTCCCGGGCCGGTTTCCACTTCCCCATCCACCCCTGATCGGCAACCAGACGACTCGCACGCTGTTCCAGAGAGCATAGCAAAAAATGATATATTAAAGAGCCAGCTTTCGTAAAATACTTTCTCGAATACGTTGCTAGCTCTTAGACTATCTCCCCAAGTCGAGCACAGCCGTACCATCCTTTTCTCGAAGGTATTAGCGGCACTTTTGACCACGCGACGTTCCGGGACTGTCATTCCAGTCCCGGAACGTCGCACTCCTAACCCATTCACAGAGCCTGTCTCTTGCGAGATTTTTAGGAACGCTAAGTGTCGGTTCTGGGCCCACGAATGGCGAGCCTGCACCAATTTTGGCGAGGGAATCAGCACGTTCATTTCCCTCTAGGCCGACATGTCCCGGTATCCATATTAGCGACACTTTGTTCCTATCTCCCAGTATATTGAGTAGTTTC